CCGCCGCGGCCGCGCGTGACCCGCCCCCCCCGTGGTTAAGGGCTCTTAAAGGGGCCGCGCCTCGGGCGGGCGGGGGCTCGGCGCTCTGGGTCCGTGGGGCGGCCGTGCAGCGCGGAGAGGAGCCAAGCGAAGGGAAGGGAAGAGAATCCCGTCGGGCACATCCCCGGCATGGCGGCGGTATTGCCCCTTCCCGCCCGTTGGGGGCCTTTTTTTTTTTTTTTTTTTTTTTCCTACTTAAAACAATGGCGGCAGCCTCTTCTTCTCCCGCTGCAGAGGCACCGTCACCGCCTCTCGCCAGCGAGGAAGCAGGCAGCCTTGAAGCACGTACCAAGGCAAAAACTTGCCGTAAAGGCGCTTCAATATTTTCTTTCCTTTTTCTGTGTTTTATTCCGTTTAGCTGGTGTGAGTGTGTGCCGCTATAAGGTACAATTTTTGAGCCAGTGTAAGGTACTGCGAGGTAAATGGGCCAACCACGCTACATAAACCTGTAAGGAAACCAAAAAAAATGTTAAGTCACTTAGAGGAATTCCCTGCCCTGACTATTACTGCAAACCCCGAGTAATTTGCAGCATACTTGACACTCTTGCGTGCGCTAAAAAGACAAAAATCTCAGTCAAAGATCATTCTGTGTGATTCAAAGTGGAAGCTCACAGCCCTGCAGGTGTTTTTGTGTGGAACGCAGGGTCCACCCTTACCTGGGGGACCTTGTCTGGCCCCTTCTGCTTTCTCACCTGGGTTTTGGGCGAGGAGGCTGTGCAGTTCAGACACCCTCTGGTGAAAGTGGGAGCTGTGATGAGGGCTAGAGGGAATGGTTGTCCTGCATTGCTGCTCCTAACCGCACCGTGACCGGCCAGGTGCCTGCAGAGCACCGGAATCCCTCTGCTACCTGCAGCTCAGCAGGGCTGGCAGGGACCCCTCACAGCCCCTGTGGCCATCGCTAACCCTTTCTACATTTGCACTCACATTCCCTTTCCACCTCTTGCTCAGGGGTTTCACCTAGAAGGAGGGAATTCTGGAAACGGCTATATTATGGCTATAATATCAGTTCTAGAAAGGATGGATTTCTCAAAGTCAAGGCAGGTAGGTAACATTCAAAAATGAATGTTTTCCTCACGGCCTGTAATTCAGGCAAGATCTGTCAGAGTGGTTTATTCTTTTTCACCCTAGCAGCTGAAATACTGCAGCCAACACAAGCTCTCTGCCTGGAGGAAAAGTGACTCAGGAGAGGATGTGCTCCCCACTGCCATGTCCCCATTGGAAGTGGGGTTAGTGGAGAGTTGCTGGATGCTGATGGAGACAATGACACAGACCCCAGTTCAGGACATGTGACCAATTCGGTGTTTCTGTGGTCAGGGGCTGAAACACAACGTGCTTCATCACTGATAATTCTGCATTTAGAGCATAGCCCTCCCTTCGAGAACAGGCTCTAAGAGGCCCTTTCTCAGGTGTTTGTCGTCACAGGCCAGGCAAGAACAAAAGTCCAAGACTCTCACCTAGAGTGGGTCAAGTCCTTCTGGACTGCCCTTTTTCTCTAGACACCACCTTCTTTTAATCTCAGTTCTTCATATGCTTAAAGGTGACTCCAAAAGAGTAAGTCCATCACACTCACTGCATTTTGCTTTTTGCTTTTTTAACTTTGCACATTAAGCGTCCATTAACACCATCCACGTTTAAATTAGCGTTCGTTAGTGTTCACTTTGCTTAAACAACTGCTTTTACATTTGTTGCTGAGTGTCAAGCAACTGACCTTTCAACCAGCAGCATCATTCACCCTCAAAAGCAGGCACCCTTAAACCAAAAGGGAGAAAAGTCTTTACATGGCTACACAAACACATGTGCAGCAACCAAGACTGGTGGCCTTGTCCCAAAACAGATGTGTGGGTCACAAATAGCACAGCCTGCCTCAGGACAGGAGCAAGAGGCACCGTGATCCACGGACCAGAAGGGGCAGCAGCTTTTTCAGAGAGCTCCATGTGCTCTTTCTAGTTATTTTCTCTTTCCACCTGTCAGCAGAACCTTCTTTCCAGCCACAGCCACTGCTCAAATCCCTGTGAGCTGCCATTGCACAGGTATGGCCCAACGCTTTCATCTGCCTTGTACTCTCACAAAGCAAAATAGTAGCAGAATATCCAGCTGTTCAGGGCATTGTTGGGCATTTCCTTTGTTTCATTCACATTTCTAGTAAAATACTTTAAAAAAATCCCAACCCACCTGGGAAGACAGCCCTCCCTGAACAAGCTATTGTTCACTACAGACACTGAAATAAAATATTTTTCTCGCAACTCGCTGCCTACAAAACACTGTAGCACTTCTTACTAGGAAGTCAGTGCCTGGAAGCAATAAGCTTTAGGAGAGCAACAAGACCTTTCACATCAAAACCCCTGATCAGCCGTGTAGGGGCACGGGGGACAGCAGCAGGTGTGAGAGAATTTTTATGTGTTTTTGAAATGACACTTAATAATGGCAACTCACCTGCTCAAAGTCAGTAGCTGCCTCCAAGATCATTTTTTGTGGACCTGGCAGGAGTAGCAGCACTTATCTCCAGGAGAAAAGCTCCAAGGGTTCATCAACTGACTCTGCTGCTCTTCACTCCAGCGAGATCACTGTTAGGAGCAGCAGATTTTGGAAAGCACATGGTCAGTCCCTCACCTATGCTAAGAAGAGCTGCACACAGCCCAGCCCCTCAAACCAATGCCGTGTACATTTCCAAGCAAACCCTTGGCACTGTGGGCATCCAGGTGAATGTGTGCTGGGATTTCCCTGCTGCAGCTCTGAAGCACACACAAGCAAAGGCAGGTCCCCTGGAGCTGACCCTGCACAGCAGCTACGCTGGCTCAGCATGGCCCAGGCAGTGGCCACAACAACCAGCCCTCCAGCCCAGTAACTTTTTGATGCAGCAGAGAGAGAAGGCCCATGGGGTTTGTGCTGTGCCTACACCAGTGGGGTGCTGTGACATCCCTGGGGCCTGCCTAGGAGTTCCCAAAGCAGGCCCAGCTGCCCAGGCTGTCGCTGGCTCAGGATGATTACAAAAGTCCCCCAGATTTCTTCATTCTTGTTTCAAAAGCAGTTGCTCGGGAAGCAAAATGCTGTGAAGAGCAGGGAAGCTGTGTGGCACTGAACAGACAGGAAGTGACTGCCATCACAGGGGTCACACAGGCTGCATTTCACTTTCTGCTTCTCAGAGAACATCGAACTGCTTGTGGTTTCCCCTTTTGCCAAGTGCCCTTGTTCTCAGGCATCCAATGGAGAGAGCTGTGCAAGGAAAGTCGGCTGCACTGCAAGGAACAGAGGGGCAGCATAGCAACAGATTATTAAAAAAAGGACTGCCCAGATTAACCTTTAATCCAGCCAACACATGCATGCAAAAGGACAAGCTGTTTCTAGTACCAGCCAGCCTCTGCAGGTTTGGCAGAGGTAGGAAGAAGACACAATCTCCAGAGCAGGCTTTCCCGTAACTCTGCACTGCAGTTTCTTACAGCTTCACCTGACCCGCTAGCTGCTGCCAGAAAGTAAGTGGCTGGCTGGAGTCCTGCTCTGATGCCATCACTCAACTCCAGCTTCCCTGGCTCAAGGCAAGCATGCTGATGGCCCTTTGGTAACACAGGCAAGACCTAACCACGCTGCCTTAAGCCAGGACTGACTCAGGAAACGCACCCCATCCCCCTCTGCTTTTGCTCCACTTGCTTTTGTGATTGATGCCACAGCTGCATTCAGGTGCAGGGCTCACCCTCACATTACATCTACTAGAGGTATCTCAGACAGCCCCATTCTCTTGGCCAGATACCTTGATAAACACCTGGCTTCCCCCTCCACAGGGGATGAAGTGGGACACACCTTGAAGGAGCAAGCCAGGCACCCAAGTAAGCTAAATAACATTTGGGATTTCCTCCATGGAGTATCAGCAGTTCCAGGACTCGAGCTCCTTGGCTAAGTCCTGGGGTGAACCAGGGGCCAAACTGTACCCAGGAGCAGCTGTGCTCCTAAGGAGGTCCCTGGAAGCCTTGCTGGCCAAACCATTGGAGGCTTTGGCTTGGAGGAGAACTTCTGTCCTGCTAGCAAGCACTGCAGAGCATGCCTGGCAACCCAGGCTTCACCTCAGACTTTCTCCATTCCAATAAGATGCGGGATATGGGGCGCACCAGCACTCTCCTGGTGCTGGCAGAGCTGTCCTGGCACTGCAGCCTCATGCAAGGATGTAAAGAACTCCCTAAACCCACAGCAACAGCCACCCTGCCATCAGTGTTCTCCTCTTCAAATTATAACCCATCAAAGACCAATCATCCCAGGTCACCCCTGGACAGCTCTAACTTACCCAGTGGGTTAAAAATTAATAAAAACTTGACCTCCTCCAATCAAAGGAACGAGTAATGTCAGAAGCAGCCTTTTGCAGGCTCCATTCTTCATCAATCCTTCTTTACTGATCTTCCTCATGCACACAGGCATGTTTTCCATTCTTTTTCCAGCTGCACTGCATGTTTATACACCAATAGTTGTGACTGTTGGAAAATAATTTAGCTATAGAATTAAAGCAAGTGGGGGGAAAATGACCACACAAACATACCATGAGGTAAATGTCAGTTCTCATATTTAATATTTTAATAATTTTGTTTGCAACATTTACCACATAAATCATCTAAATAAATAGATGCTGTACAGTCTCTTATCCATATCAGTACAAAAATAAAACCACACTTTGTGTCAAATTATACTTGAGCCTGCCCTCCCTTTGCTATTACAATCTCCTTTTACAGCACATACTTGCTCAGAAAAGGCATTATACTCTGATTGGTTTGTTTGGAATTGGTTTACTCCCTATTTCCCCCCCTCCCCAAATACATTCAATTAGTCTGTACAAAAGCTAGAAGCTCATTCTGTGCAAAAGGAAGCTTTCTGTGTGCAAAGACTCCAATACTCTAGCGTGCTGACGGGAACAACAGCAACAACTGAAGAGACAAAAA